AATAATGAACAGCCATATACCAGAGACATTTTGTGGGGTGGAGTGGGGAGTGGGATCAAAAACAGTTGGGGGACGGAAATGCACTGGACTATGGTGATGGCACATGTGTGATTGGGTGATGGGAAACCCAAGGAGATTACAAATGATATGGGAAAATGCACCGAAATATATAAAAAAAATAAACTACTATAAATTTAAAGCATAATCCAAACAAGGCCTAAAAAAATTAATTAAAATAAAATTTTTAAATCTCTTTTATTAGGCCCTCCCTGGTGGCGCAGCAGGTTCAAGCACTGCATTAAGAAGCTTAAACCACTTCCGCATGAGTTCAATCCCCGCCTGCCATGAGGACATCCACATGGCGAGACAGACCTCTCCTGACCCACCGCTGCTCCCCTCAGCAGTGTACTTCGTTGATCTGCCTGTTCCGCACCCCACTCTGTCCCTGGTGAATCCTCTCACCCTCCGCATCTCTAGCCTGTACCCTAGTTCTGTATGAATAAATAAATAAATATTTTTTAAAAATCTCTTTTATTAGATGTAAGTATGGCTGACCCCACTTTTCTTTCGGTGCCACTTATGTGTAGAAATTGATTCTTTTTTTATATTGTTTTATTTTACTTTGCTTTTTTGTATGTCAAAGACACTATTTTAATGAATGAATTCATTACGTTTATATCATTTAACAATTTGTGCATTCATTCACTCAGTTGTAATCCACCACCAATTTACCATTGTGACATCACCATAGTCCCATGCATTTTTCCCACCCCACCCTCATTTTGTTCCTGTTCCCCTCTCCATCCCCCTAAAATGTCTCTGATTTATAACGTTTATTGTTTTTCATTTTTTCTTTACTCCGATTGCATTTATTTTTTTCCTGGTCCTTTACATTCCTGCTGTGAGCAAAACCATCTGATATTTTTCTTTTTCTTTCTGGTTATTTTACTAAGCATGAGTCCTTCCAGCTCCATCCATGTTGCTGCAAAAGGCACAAGTTTATCTTTTTTTTTATTGCTGAACAATATCCCATTGTGTATATGTAACACATCTTTTTAATCCAGTCATCTATTTTTAGGCATTTTGGTTGATTCTACATCTTCCCTATTATAAATAGAGCAGCAATAAACCTGGGGTGCAGGCATCATTTTGAGTCAATATTTTTGTGTCCTTTGTGTCAATAAGTAGGAGTAGGATTGTTGTGTCATATGACCCATTATTAGCAGTTTGATAAACCTCCAAACAACTTTCAATATTAGTTGCACCAGTTTTCATTCCCACCAGCAACACAGGCAAGTTCCTTTTTCTCCACATCCTCGGCAACCTTTGTCCTTGCTAGTTTTTTTAATATTTTCCATACTCACTGGTGTGGTATCTCATTGTGGTTTTGATTTGCATTTCCCTGATTACAAATGATGTTGAACACTTTTTCATATGCCTGTAGGATGACTGCATTTCCTCTTTGGAGAAGTGTCTTTGTAGCTCATCTGCTCATTTTCTGATGTGTTGTTCACTTTACGTTTGTTGAGATTCATCATCTCTGTGTATATCTTTTTGATCAATCCATTATCATTTGTGTTATGTGCAAAAATTTTCTCCCAATCAGTGAGGTGTCTTTTTGTTTTATGTAGTGTCTTTTTTGCTCTCAGAATCTCTTCAATTTTATGTAGTCCTAGCTGTTTATCATTTCTTTCCTAATACTTGCTTTAAGTGATATATATTTAAAGATGTTACTGAGTGTATGTCATGTAGTGTTTCAAAAATATCTTCTTTTATGGTTTCAAGCCTATGTCTAGGTCTTTAATCCATTTTGAGTTGATTTTTGTGTATGTTGCAAAGTAGTAATCTAATTTCATTTTTTTGCAACTAGCAATCCAGCTTTCCTAGCACCATTTGGTGAACAAACTTTCTTTGTTCCATTGCATATTCTTTGCTCCTTTGTCAAAGATTAGTTGTTGATTTATATCTGGGCTTTCTGTTCAATTCTATTGATCTGTACATCTGTTCTTGTTCCAGTACCATGTAGTTTTAAATATTATGGCTTTGCTGGTGGGAATGTAAACTAGTGCAACCACTATGGAAAGTTGTTTGAAGGTTTCTCAAAGGTTAAAAATAGAGATTCCATATAATAAAGCCATTCCACTCCTAGGATACCTGCACCCCTGTTTATTGATGTCATATTTATAATAGGGAAGATGTGGAATCAACACAACTGTCAAAAAACAGATGATGGGAACAAGATGTGGTATATATACACAATGGAATATTATTCAGCATTTGCAGCAACATGGATGGAATTGGAAGTGTTCATCCTTAGTGAAATAAGCCTGAAATAAAAATAAAAATACCACATGGTTCCACTCATAGGAGGAGTGTAAAAAATCAGAAAATTATATATATATGTGTGTGTGTGTATTTAAAACATATATAGTAATAAAGTAATAAGAATATCAACTAACAACTATAAGCCAGAGAAATTATTGGGAGAGGAGAGAGGAACAAGATCAAAACTGCAGTGGGAAGAGCACATGGGACTATGATGATGGCACATTTGTGAAGTGGTGTTGGTAAATCCATGGGGATTACAACTGAGATTTTAAAATGTACAAAATGAAGAATAATGTAAAATGTATTTATAAAACAAAATAATTTTACAATTAAAAAAAGGACATAGATATTTTTCTCTATCACATACAGATTTCAATACAATCATATTTAAGAACATCAAAAATTGGAAAAGTACTAAAAAAATCAGAAAACAATTCAGAGATATATAAGAAAAGTAAATTAATGCTATAGGAGATGTTAATTAAAAGATCAAAATTGGAACTTTAAATAAGAAAAAATAATGAATTACCTTTGTAGCTGGATATCTATCTTATGTAAGTATGTCTTTCTTACCTTTCTTTGGTCCCTTGGCTTATAGGATTGCTTTCTAACCCTTTACTCTGTGCCTATGCTTAACTTTGGAACTCAGATGCATCTCCAAACCAAACAGAGAATGGAAATTCCCCAGAGCTCAATGGAAAAAATAAAAAATTCTGGAGAAAGCCATGGGAGTAGAATAGATCAACTGAAGGAATAAGTAAACTTTTTGCAAATAGTTAAAGAATCAAAGAGAGAAGGATTACAAAGAGGGAAAATGAAGAAACACATTTACAATTATCTGATTCCAAGAGGAGCAGTATCCCAAAAGGAGAGGTGAAGAAAATGGAAAATTATTTAAAGAAATAATTGAAGAAAACTTCCCACACTTGAAGGAACAGAACATACAAGTACAGGAAGCTAAAAGAAAACCAAACTGAGTAAAAGGCAACCTACAACAAAATATAAAATGGGTAAACATCCAAAAGTCTAAAGTGAGAAAAATAATAAAGCTAACAAGGGAAGAACTAGATATAAAGCAAACTTGATTAGACTAAAATGAACTTATCTGAAGAAATGTTATGGGCAAATAGAGAATCAAATTACATATTTCAAATATGCCAACATAAAAACTGGCAGCTAAAAAAAACTTTTTCAGATAAATGAGAGAAATAGGGGATCTCTAGACAAATAGAATCACAATAAGTTTTCAACTGCTAGAACCCTTGTGAAAGGTTTAATATTTAAAGCAAAGAAAGGAATGAACAAATGACAAAATTGCAGTAGGATACATTCATACATCAACAATCACTCTAAATTTCAATAAACTGAACTCACAAAAAAAAAAAGACAAAACGCTCAATGGAATAATTGGACTAGGAAACAGAACCCAACTTACTCATAGCTACAGGAAATTCATTTAAGTTTCAAGTTATGAAAGTAATGGACAAGGCAGGGATACCCTGCAGAACAAATGACCAAATTGCAGTAGGATACATTCATATGTCAACAATCACTCTAAATTTCAATAAACTGAACTCACACACACACACAAAAAAAAGACAAAACGCTCAATGGAATAATTGGATTAGGAAACAGAACCCAACCTACTCATGGCTACAGGAAATTCATTTAAGTTTCAAGTTATGAAAGTAATGGAACAGGCAGGGATACCCTGCAGTAACAGACACCACATAGCATCTGATCACAGCATAGAAGTTGGGCAGTGGCAGAGTTGCCACTACTGGTGCATAGTACTTTATCCAAATTGGAAACAAGGACAAGAGTGGGGCCACTGCCAAAAGGCATGCAAAGCCCCCCTAATGAAATCAGGCAACAGAGGGACTAAAGCCACCAACAAGAACATACATCACCCAATCACAAACCATAAAGTAGGAATCCCACCACCACCACCCCCTTAGAACATTGGAAACACAAAGGGAGTCACCAGATTTGGCATTCAAACTCACAACCATACTCACAACACCATCACTCTTGTGGAGGATTTGTGCATTAGTTCTTTTCCTCAGATATCCCAGAAGAAGAACCCAGAAGAAATATTGGCCAATATTAACAACATAGTGTCTCCACACATAGAAAGCATTAGGAAACAAACGAAAGGGGAAAGAAAAAACACAAGTACCCAAGCTCAAAATTAAAATTTCACCACAAAAAGATCAGTCACCAGTGATGAACAAAGATGCTCAGCCTGTCAGACTGGAATTTTAGAATCATCATGATTACAAATATATAGAAGATGAAAAGGAAAAAATGAGGCAAATAATGAACTGAAGAATGAAAATGAGACATTCAAAAAAAGAAATAAAAGGAATGCAGAAGATTAAAAGTGATAAAGAGTGCTGGATATTAAGATATAAATAATGCATAGGAGATAAAGAATGCTGGAAAGCAGTGAAAACAGGATAGATGAAAGGAAAAATGAATCAGTGACACAAGCTATGCGACGGCTATCGTCTGACAGATTCCGGGTAGCTCGGGAAAAGCTCTGAAAGATCAGACTTTCCATGCTAACTTGTGTTATGACCTCCCTTTTTTGTATAATCGTAATATCAAAATATTCTGAGCAACTTTCAGCCTACAATTGGATTGCCTCAGCTGCATAAGGCCTGCCTGCCCTGACAAGCAAGCACTGCACCAGGGTGAGAAATTCCTCTGAAGTCAAAGTGACTTAACAACTGGCTGATCAATAAAAACAAAAGGGCTGTTTCTGCAAAGTCTCTCACTGCTGGACTGAGGAAAACCCGAATCTTATTCTGCTATCTCACCTAGCCTCCCTCTACAGAATTACCTAAACTTCCTACTGTCTGGCTTTAGATATGGAAATTCATCCAGGTTGCCTGTTTTAGAGCTAGTCAAGTTTTACCTGCTACACTTCAAAGCAATCCACAAAAGTCTTTCTGGCTAGT